CCACCGGACCGCTGCAACTGCAGTGGTAGTAGGTCTGATGCAAAATTCCAGATGTGCCAAGTGGAGACTGGCATCGTTAAGAATGGAGAAACCGAAGTGCTGAGTACCTGGAGGGTGTGCTTACCCAGGTCTGATGTGTGCTTCCCCTTTGTCAGTCTACAGCATTTACAGGAATGGGAAATGCTTGCACTGTGTGGGAATATGCATGGATAAAACACAGAACCTACAATTATTACGATGGGGAGAGAAAACATACACTAAGTAACCACATCGTATGGGCAATGTGTAATCCATTGTCGTTGAGTAGATTCCAACTCATAGCTGCCCTATAGGACAGAGTAGAACTGCCCGATAGGGTTTCCTAGGCCGTAAATGTTTACAGAAGCAGACTGCCACATCTTTCTCCAGTAGAGAAGCTAGTGGGTTTCAACTACCAACCTTTTGGTTAGCAGCCGAGCGCTTAACCAGTGGGCCACTAGGACCCCTTCTGGGCAATGTCTCTGCTGGCATTTTGTGTTATCACATTCAGTGAGTCAGACTGAATTACAAAGGAACTAATAATAAAGTAACAGATTATTTCGGCTCCAGCCTTATAATGGGAGATAGAAAGTTGCACATGCTCTTTAGTCAAAAGAAGAGAGGTGTCAGGGCAAAAGTGATTTGAATCAGTAGAAAATGCAGCATCACAGGGACCCTGAACTCCAAGGCAACACCCATCCGTCTCTCTGTAAAGTGCTTTATTCCAGTGGGCAGTGTGAATGCATGAGAAGGTCATCCATCCTCTCAGCTTCTGCAGCATCTAACGAGACAGCAAACCTTAAAACATAATAACAATGTTTCATCTGAACAACAGACCCAGAGCAACGGTGAAAGCCAAAGACAATTCTGAAAGCATCTCACAGAGCGTGAGGATTGTCCAATTTGGTCAACTGATAACATTAATGCTTCCTTGGGCCAGGAGGACAATTTCCCTAATGGACTTCAAGGCCCTTGAATTATAATTTCCCATCTGGAAAGTGACTGTGTCCACAGTCACAGAATAGTCTATAAACACTGAAGTGCAAGTCAGAAAGTTTTCTAAACTTTTGTGTATTTTTTTAAATTTCTAAAAATTAACAACAAAATCCACCATAACCTATTTAATGTATAAAACCACAAAGAAACTAATAGGCACTAAGAATTTCAACGCCAAAAAGTTTTGAAATGCAGTGTTTGTTTGCACACACACAACAAAAACTAAATACAAAGGGTTCATTCTTTTGCAAATCTCATCTCAAATTTTCTCGCTTCCCCTTTTCAAACCAATCTTTACTGTATACACGCATACTAAGATCTGTGGAGAACTGAGGCTCAGACCTCTGACATTCCAAGGGAAAAAGGAGAGGATGAAACAATTACCTAAAGTGCTGAGAAACAATGCTGATGGATTTGTACACGTGGGAGAGCATTTCCGCTCACTTGCTGCCGACGTTTCACAGGCAGGAAAGCCTGCTGCTTCGCAGCCTCAATTTCACAAAGCCAATTTCTCTGTTTAATCCGGTTACTTAAAGGATGTCTGTAGGACTTGAAGAAAGACTAGGCTTGGCATTTAGTACATGTCAAGCTACTGTCAAAGAGACATCTCTTTTCATCCTAAAAGCAAGGGATGGCATTTGCCAGAACGCCAAGATGATGCCGGCAGTTCACGAAGAATCAAGCAAGCATCCGTGAAGACGCTGGTAAATAATACACTCACCAGCCTCTCAGCTGAAAGGTCTACAGCTGCCTTCCAAGACCCAAGCTGAATATCAACTGCCTTGTATTTTTCTTATGTCTCCGGACTCTGTCTGTTCTGGGCCCTTAGTCTCCTGAGCCCTCAGCCCCACACGAGCCATGCCCCTACGCATGTACACATAACCAAGCCGTGAGCAAGGAAAGACCAAAACAGAGAGAGGTCAAGGGCTGTCAAGAGCCACCACATCATGCACTCAGCTCTGAGTTTAGAGATGGTGTGGCCCTGGGCAGGGCACTGAGGAACACGAGACCCTCTTCCTGAGACATAAGAAGGTTTACCCAGCCTGCTAGGGGGACAAATGAGAAGACTTTTACAGGTAAAAGTTCCTGCAGCTTTAAGTCAACATTTTCTTTTGGCCTCCATTTATTAATTCCACTTATTACTGAACAAGGGTGTTAAAATCTCTGGCTGAAAAGAAAAAATAAATACAGTCAAATCATGCAGATGCTGAAATTAAAAAGGGACTGTATGTATAAAATAATGAAACAATTGAAGAATGTTTAAATGTTTATTTTCATGTTAAAAATGATGAGTTACCCTGTGGTTAGAATATACCTTTATGCTGGAAAAATGAAGTCACTTTATTTCTGAAATATTTCCAGAAAAAGAAAAGGGAAAATCCAAAAGTCATGAAGAGTAAGATGATCAGAATGTTCTGGCAGTTCCAGCAACAATGCCAACACGAGCCATGTCCTTCCCAGGCCAGAGTTCCCAAATCAGTGCATTTCACGATGTTATGTTGCCATGTTTTTCCCATCGGTGTAGATATTCTTGGTGGGATGTCTGTACATTTAAAAGCTACAACTTTGCATGCTTGAATTTTAAAATGTACTTATTCCAATACATCACTCGGTATTTCAGTATATTGCCTATATTACATACAAAAATATCTGCTATCCGTATTTTAGCATAACTTTTCCATCATTCCTTCTGTCCCTGTATATAACAGATGATAGGCATTACATTATACATGTATACTTTTAATGGAGGAGATGGTTGCTGAGTTTATAAACCATTTCTTGTGTCAATACAGAGACTGAAATGGAGACCTGGGGCCATTTTTTAGATTAGAGTAGAAAACACAATGGTCCCAATGACACGGAGGGTTCAGGGAAACTGCCCTCTGGTGGTTGCTGTTGGACTGAGCAGTTCTTCCCCAATGGACACAGCCTTACTGTGGTCCCAGCATTCCAACCTTGGGAAGATGCCTTTCTAAAAGAGTTAAGGATGCTGATCAAAATGCACAAAGGCAGCCTTTCCAGAACTTAGAAATTATCAAGGTACAGATGGTGCAAAAAAATAATCCGTCTTTTCCCCTGCATTGGTGTTTTCAAGCAGAAACTTTCTAGCTAGATTTTAAGGGCCATTATCATCTGGGAACTTAGCCTGGTCAGTGTGCAACATAAAACAGCTAGGAAATAAGCTTTCTCTTCTCGGCTCACAGAGTTTTCTGGTGCTTGCTACATGGCGTTCTTCTGGGGGAAACCGAGTGTCTTCTGTTTGCTTTCTCTCAAACGCAATGCACCTGGGTGTTTAAGTTGTGGTTCTCTCGTGTGCCAGCTGCTCCTCCATCCCTCTGTTCTGGCCTCTGAAGCAGCACACAGGGACCCTGGGAGCCATCATTTCAAGACGTGTGGTCCCCATGTCACGGCTGAACCTCTCAACACGTGACCTGCAGTTGACAGCCTGGCATCCTCTCAAGAGGCCGGTGCTGCCTCGGGAAGAGTCTCGGTGTTCTGCTCTTATGGAAAAGGAAGGGACTTCGTAAACGTGCTTTAGTTCAAACTGTTTACTCAGACCAATACTTTGGATACCTCGGCCACAAAACCTGGAAAATTCAGGCAAATGTACGTCCCCCAAGGAATTAGATTTCAAGGCTTAATAGTGTATTTTCCTACATTTTAGTTTACCTATTTTGGGGCATAGTGCCTATTAGTTTAAAGTCACTAGTTGGAAAACAAGGTGATATAACCCCTGGTGTCTAATCAGCAGGAAGTGTTTAGAGTAGACCGAATATCAATGAAATTCTGTTAAACTGAATAGCATCCATGACAAATCCGAGAGTAACTGAAAGTCACTGTGGAGTCCCACTAAATATCTTACTCACTGGCTCTTCAGTGCTCACACACACACACGTCCGTGTGTGTGTGTGTGTGTGTGTCTGTGTGTGTCTGTGTGTGTCTGTGTGTGTCTGTGTGTCTGTGTGCTCTGTGGCAAAAGGGAGCCCTCCCCTCACCCTTCCGTTTGCATTTTATTTTGCATGGACTGAGTTTTAACATAAACAAGCACAGGTGACTGACTGCACAGGGGTTGTCTCTCTGGGCGACCCGAAGTTATTCACAGGTGGTGTCTGTAGCGCAGCAGTCGCCAGCTCTGCTTAGAAACCACAGCCACATTCTGACACTCCCAACTTGCTCCCTGCAGCAGGTCACCCATCCGTTTTGCAGAAAATGCTCTCATCTGCTGCCTTAATAATGCTCTTTTGCCTTCCCTACAAAATGACACCCTCCACAAAGTCTCACTTTACCAGTAGGAGGCAGCCTGCTGTGTGAGACTCACCCCCCATTTTAGTTGAGATGCCTCCTGTTTCAGAAATGAATCTCCATTATGTGTCTGGGATGTTGAAAATCCAAATGGAGAATGAATAGGAAATGTCTTACAGCAGGAGCAGGACTTCCTTGGATAACTATGTTCTAATCAGCACATGAATGTCCCTGTGGCCCTACACACTTGGATTTGGGCTACCTCTCACCAAAGCCTTTGAAAATCACTGGGGTTGCCTTTGGCCACCTAAGAAGCTCTTCCGACAGGGTGTAGGTCATCTGTCTGCAAATCCCTTCTGCAGCCAATACCTGGGGTCTCTTGGTTTCATTCTCTGGACACATGGAGAGATTTTTGGAACTTTATCAACTTTAGTTCCTAACCCCCATTCTTACACTTGCAGAACCATCTGAATACCTGCCCCTGGAGGTCAGGCCCACTTCACCTGTAATGCATGCACTATTGACAAACACAGTGTGGTCCTATGGGCTGGAGATCCACAAAGGGAGAACTGTGGGCCTGCCAATGCAATGGGACCCCAGGGGGGCTGGGCTGTGGTGCCCCATTCATGGGAGTCTGTAATGAGAGGGCAGCTGAACTGCTTTCGAATAGCTCAGTCATTAGTCATTTGAGGTCATGAAGCTGCTTCCAATGACCTCCTGCAGGTCCTTCCTACTCTTAGGCCTTAAAATCTTATTTCTTAGAGATGAAAACTGCTCAAGAAAGCCCACCATGAGGAATTTTGGTCCACTTTCTATTTTTCTAGCTATCCTATCTTAATCAATAAAGGTGTTGTCTTCTTGTCTCTCCTGTCACTTTGATTTCCAATCACTGTCATTTTTCGTAACAACTGCTTCTTGTGCCCTGGAACAGTTGTTTCTTTTTATGAATTTTTTCTTAGAAACCCATTGCTTTCGGCCATAAGTGCACACACCCTGTGAAAGTTTTATTTCTGCCAGAATCATGATGGAGGAATTTTTTTTTTTTGCTCATTGTATAGGTGCATTTCTATATACCGTTAAGTTGAAACATCATTCTACTTACTTTTTCTTTTTCTTCTGGTAAAATGGAAAGTTTTATCTGCAGCTATTTTCCTAAGCAATTTCCTTTCTGTGTATACCAACTCTACTCTTAGATTCAAGTTCGGATAATAAGTTGTGTTGACCACAAAGCACTTGTATAAATACAGCTATTTTGAGGCTTTTTGCCTTTAGAAATGATACTCCAGGAGTTCCCCGTGCATTTCCAACAAGCAGAGGATAAAAATAAAACTGTTTGTGATTCACAGCTTTTCTCCAAAATTTTCAAGCTTCATGTAGAAAATTGTAAAGAGATGGCCCTCTCTTGCAGTATATTAACATTTTAAGTAAAACCCCTTGTCCGTGTCTGACACAAGAAAGTTCAACCAGGAAAAGAAGGAATCACACAGTGAGGATAAGCTTCGTAGCTACTGTACCTGTACAGTGAAATGTGGAAAACTAGAGAAAAGCTGACGTTCTGTACGAACACCCAGGAAGTAACATGACATGGCAAATCCCAGTGAATAAAACTCAGAGGTAAACCAAACAGATCTCAAAGGAAACACTGAAATTTCTTCTCTTCATGTTTCAAAAAATTCCACAGGTCAAAGGAACCAGGTGCAGACGCAAATGTATATAAAAATAATGAGCAGCGCTCGTAACAAATAAGGAGAGCTACATTCAGTTATCTTTCACAAAGGTCTAATCTCAGGTCGAGGGCAAGAAATGTCCACTGTGCTTTAAAAGGTCTAGGAATAGAAAAATCAACACCCAAATCTTTTCTAATTCCAAACGGCTGTTTGTCATGAGATGACTAACAATGTCTGTCTGTCTGTGGGGTCAGGTTTACTGTATTTGCACTGAGTTAGTACCAGGCAGGATATAAAATGGTTGTCTTAGAATTTCCCCCAGTACCTACATGTGGGCTGTTTTACAGGCATTTCCCGACTTATAACCCAGATGCATTAGATCTCCTGACCTCTGTTACTTGCTTGGAAAGGGATCCCACCAGACCGCCACAAACGAAGCTTTGTTAAATCATCCCCTATTGCTGATCAAACTCACTTCTCCACCACTCAGAAAACAGAAGGCATAAAGGTGAATACAAACATAAGAAAGGAGTTCACATCTGGTCTTGCAGTCTTTCCATGTAGTCTCTAAAGTCCTGGGAGTCCCCCAGCCCCATATCTTGGCAGACCCACTTAATGTTGTCATCACTGTCAAACAGGATGGAGTTGGTGTACGGGCCGCCATCCTCGGGGAGAATGGTGGTGTAGGAAGTAAACTTGACTCGCTTCCTCTTTGGGCCTGAAGAACTGATAGGTTCATTTTGCATTTCTTTCTCATAGACATAGTCAGAAGGTCTGAGCAGTTGGCTATGGAAAGTCTTCTGGGAACTGCCGTTCAGAAGGAGGTTCCTCTCCTCGAACTGCAGCCCTCTGTCTTTCATGGTCGTGCACTCCTCCGACGGGAGTGTGATGTCAACGGGGTTCTCCAAAAGTTCCACTTCATTCCCAAGCCAGACCCAGTCATGGGAGTGGGGGATGTTGCCTTGCTCGCTCACAGCAAACCTTTTGTGTCTGTATTTCCAAGCAAAAGCCACACAGTTGATTAAGAAGACCAAAATGGCCAGACAGAAGACACAGAGCAGGGCGTACATGCCAATCTCCAGGTCAGTTAGCCCCCTTGAGGTCACTGTAAGGTCACTGGGATTGTTGGGTTCTGGTAACTTCCCTTGAGTGGGGAAGCTGGTGAAGGCATCCGGACCACCACTCTTGAGTAACTTCTTATCCTTTCCTTCCATGGGAGACTGCTGGGTTGTGCTTTTGTTGGTGCCCTCCTCTTGGCCAACAGATGCGCCATGTTGGAACCACTCCTGAACTGCTCTCTCCTGGTTTCCTTCACGCTCTATGGAATTACTGAGGTGGTCTTTATATTCCCGATTTATGCCCTCAATATCATTGGTGCCTCCTTGGTGTTCATCAATATTTGGTTCAAATTTGACCACGACATTTCCTTTACCCACGGCGAGAACACTCTTTCTCTTGGTCTTCTGACAAGGTTCACTTATCATCATTTCTAACTTAATCAAGGGCCCTTGGCCTTCACCCTCTGCAACTACAGCTGGCCACTTGGACTGAAGGTCTGGCTGGACAGACACAACCATTTCATCCAATGATGAGACAGTAACTGAAAAATCCTTCGGATCATAAATGTCTAAAGGTGTCACCGAACCATCACTGAACAAAATCCAAGAACTGAGTATTGCTTCCTAAGAAAAATGAAACCAAAGCATTATGTTACAATCAGGTTCCATCAAATTTGCACACATAAATATGATTTCCTAGATAATATTCTTTAAATATACAAACTGGGGAGAATAAACTCCTATGTTTTATAATCTTGAACACTTTCTGGCATGCCTTGAACCAGCATCAACAATGCCCTATAGCTCCATTCATGTAAGGAACAGATAATACACTTTAATGAATGTATTAAAGTGTATATTAATTTATTGCATGCCACACAGCAGAATTTGACTTTGGCCTTTCCAAAAACATTTGAAAGACCGGGCAATTTATCTGAATCAATTTCAGGTGCAACTAATCAGGCTGCTGCTCAAGATAATATCACTTTGAACATTCTTTATTAGGAAGCCAATGCTGATGAAGCAAAACATGGCTGGTGGAAGCACTTGGGGAAGATACATTAGGAGGCTGGCTTGCTTGAAAGACACCGCGACCCTGGTATCTGTAAAAACGATTTGCTCAAAGTTTACAGATGGAGGAGAGGTTCAGAGCTGACAATAGTTGCAGTAAACAGTTTGGTGCCTGTTAGCCATGCTTGTTCAAGTAACTGAAACGGAATTTCCAAATATCAAAAGCCACCCGCTTTCGCAAAAGTGAACACATGTGGCCATCCTTCAGTCATGGTCTAGCAGCAGACTGTGCCTGGCACACGTAAGACCCCTGGAAAACAAATGGCCTGTGGACACGTGGTCTGTCCATATATAAGAGAAAACGTTATCCCAAACACTGAGCACCTTTCTAAGACAAGACAGACTGGATGAGAAGTAGAAAGAAGCTTCAAGAACCACCAGTCTCAGCTGTAATGCTCTACTGATCTCCTTGCTGTACTTGATATGAGAGAGAGAAGGCGTCTCAACTGACCGTAGACACAGGGGCCCCTGGGAATCTCACCTGTTGTGGGGCTTGAAGAACATCCCGGGCAGCCACTGTTGAGACGATGGCTCTTCTGTCTGCTCTGTGAGGCTGCAGGGAGAGGGATAGGCCAGCCACCAGCTGCACACCCAGGTCTGCAATGGTGACACGGTCATCCAGGACGATCACTGTCTTCTCAGCCAGGATGGAGTCAGAGAGAGGCGAGAGGACCTTCAAAGGTAATGAGAAAGCTCAGGTCTCTGCTCCACATAACCATTTTACACTCCTTAGTTGATGTTTCCACCAAAGTGTTCTCTGAGTCTCTGCTAAATGAATGCACTTACAGAAAAGGTTTAGGAAAGTGCCAAGCTGTTGTTCAATTAAACTTGCTAATCGAATGAGGAAGTTTACAAAGATCACCCTGGTGCATTTTCTTTCCTTTGATTCATACGAGGTTATTAGCAGTGTACGTTCTGAGAAGAGCTTAATTTAGGGACAATAACTTAAAATTTTCCATTTTGGCACCAGGCATGCAAAGAGTAACATTTTACCAACAAGTAATACTTATCCCTCAAAAATACCAGAATTGTGGTTAAAACTGTTTAAAGTAATGGTGCTCAGCCATCTTCTCCTGCTCATATTCCTTCCCGTGGGCAGTGAGATGTTCATTACGGGGCAATACTGATCATCATGTGGGCTACGGTGTCATCATTGGATAAACCAGTTTAACAGAGTGGGAAAGAGAATCTTAATGTCCTAAGGATCCATCCATCCTAACTAACTTAATTTGCACCCAGAGGTGACTAAAATCTAGAGAGGAATATTTGTAGGCAGAATTTCTAGAATGCTACTCCCCAAAGATATCCCAGGACCTGTAAATACAATGACAAATCATTCCCATGATTATGTTACATGGTGGCACAGTTGGCCTTAATATAGGGTGATTACCTTGGATTATCCAGATGGGTCCAATGTAATCACATGCATCCTAAAAAGTAGAAAGGTTTCTCTGACTAGTAGCAGAGGGGAAGTCTTGATGAGAAGGATGTGATGTTTGAGTTCAAACGTGAGGATGGAGGGGCCACATGAGAAGGAACATGGGTGGCCTTTAGGAGCGCAGAGTGGACCCCAGCTAAAAGCCAGTAAGGAAACAGAGACCACCGTCTTGCAAATGTAGGAAACTGCATTCTGCCAGCATCCTGAATAAGCTTAGAAGCAAAGTCTTCCCCAAAGCCCACATGTAAGAGCCCAACCAGGCCGCACACATACACACAGTTGCACATACACTCACAAATACACATGCACGCATAGATACATAAACGTGCATACACATGCACACACACGTATGCACACAGTTCTACACAGAAACATCTACCTGCATGCTCATAAATACAGACTAGTATTAGAGCAGAACAAAACAGAACGAGGAGACGCTGTGTGGTTTAAAATCAGGAAAGGTGTGAGTCAGGGCTGTATCCTTTCACCACACTTATTCAATCTGTATGCTGAAGCAGGACTATATGAAGAAGAACGCAACATCAATTGGAGAAAGACTCATTAACAACCTGTAATATGCAGATGATACAATCTTACTTGCTGAAAGTGAAGATGACTTGAAGCACTTGCTAATAAAGAGCAAAGACTACAGCCTTCAGTATGGATTACATTTCAGCATTAAAACAACAAAAATCCTCACAACTGGAAAAATAAGCAACATCACGATAAACAGAGAAAAGACTGAAGTTGTCAAGGATTTCATTTTACTTGGATACACAATCAACACCCATGGAAGCAGCAGTCAAGAACTCGAACGACACATTGCATTGGGCAGATCTGCTGCAAAAGACCTCTTTAAAGTGTTAAAAAGCAAAGATGTCACTTTAAGGACTAAGGTGCACCTGACTCAAGCCATGGTGGTCTCAATCGCCTCATATGCATGTGAAAGCTGGACATTGAATAAGGAAGACCAAAGTAGAATTGACACCTTTGAATTACGGTGTTGGCAAAGAATACTGAATATACCATGGCCTCCAGAAGAATGAACAACTCTGTCTTGGAAGAATACAGCCAGAATGTTCCTTTAAGGCAAGAAAGGTGAGACTTCATCTCACATACTTTGGACATGTTATCAGGAGAGACCAGTCCCTGGAGAAGGACATCACGCTTGGTAGAGGGTCAGTGAAAAAGAGGAAGACCCTCGGTGAGACAGATCGACACAGTGGCTGCAACAATGGGCTCAAGCATAACAACAACCGTGAGGATGGCGCAGGACAGAGCAGTGTTTCGTTCTGTTATACATAGGGTTGCTATGAGCCGGAACCAACTCGATGGCACCGAACGGCAACAGTATTAGGGCAAGAGGCAAGGGGTGGGATGATCATACCTGCACGGTGGTTATTCCTGGCTCCCGACCAACCAGGATCCTACCATCCTGTAACTTCGCAATTTTTGGCTCCTCCACCTTCATGAAATCGGTAACAAGGTCTGTGATGTCAAACTGCCAGTCAGGGCCCAGCATGTAGGTGAGCTGACCCAACTCTGGAGACTCTGCCACAAACTGGGTCAGGACCCGGACCGTGGCGTGCTGGTACTGGAGGGAGCACCCTCTGACTTTCTTCTCCTCATCTTCCTCATCGTCGCTCTCCCTAGTGGGCCTGGAACATGAACAAACCAGAACAGAGTAACCATCATCATTGTTAACAGTCACATAGACCGTTTTTCTGACGCAATGCGACTGTGCAGGATGGAATGAACTGGCTTTTCTCCTGCCAGATCTGCCCACAGACCAATTCATCACAATGTCCCTTCAGTCAATACACACCATTTGGTGATTACTGGGCACCACTGGTGTTACTATGAACTTGAACACTGGAGGCAAGATACACCCTGCCTCCAACATGGCCCTGTGCTGTGGGAGACCCTGGCCCCACACAGGCAGAGGCTGTGTCTGTGCCCTCTGCACTCTGGAAAGCTGTCATTCTAAAAACCGTTCTTCATATGGGACTGATGCAGAACTTTGAGTCTAGTGGAACGAGTGTGAGATTCTGGGTCAGAAGAGGTGTTGGGAGTCTGTGTCTATCTAAGGTTGTGTGTCAGCTTGGCTGGGCCATGATTCTCAGTGGTTTGGCAGTTATGATGTAGTCTGGCAGTTATATAATGATGTAGTTTGGCAGTTATGTAATGATGCAATCAACTCCATAATGAGATCTGCTATGAGCAGCCAATCAGTTGAAAGGGAGTTTCCTTAGGGGTGTGGCCTGCCTCTAGTATACAAAATAGATGTTCCAGCGAGGCTCTTACTCTGGATCCTGCATCCAGCTCGTCATCATCTGACCTCTGGTTCTTGGGACTTGAGCTAGCAGCTTACCTGCCAATCTTGGGATTTGTCATCCTCCACAGCATGTGAGCTAGCACTCTGCCATCTTACCCGCCAGTCTTAGTATTCATTGACTTCCACAGCCTGTGAGCCAGAGGCCTGCCATGTGATCTGCCAATTTTGGGTTCGTGAGCCCCTGCAGCTACATGAGTCAAGAGAAGCCTCCAGCCTGACATCTGACATTGGAACATGCCAGACTCTATAACCGCATGAGCCATTTCCTTGAGATAAATCTCTCTCTGTCTCTCTCTCTCTCTCTATATATATATATATATGTATATGTATGTATATGCTTCACTGGTTTTGCTTCTCTGGAGAACCCAGCCTTAGAGTCCTCTTTCCACACCTACTTGTGTGACCTGTTTCTCCTTTAAGCTCTATCAGTTTTTGCTTCATGTATTCTGAAGTTCTGTTATTTGCTGCATTAACATTTAGGATCTCAAAGTCATTTTGGTAGATTGATCTTTCTATCATTATGTAATGTCTGTCTTTGTCATTAGTACTTTTCTTTGCTCTGAAATCTAATTTATCTGATATTGACATACCTTTTTTTTTTTAATTAATGTTTGCATGTTATATCTTGTTCCATTCTTTGACTTTCAACAAACTCAACTTGTTATGTGAAGGAAGTTTCTTACAGACAGCATATAGCTGAGTCTTGTTTTTCATTCATTCTTCCAGTCTCTGTCTTTTAATTGGTGTATTTACACAATTCACATTTAAAGTAATCATTGATATATTAGGGCTTACATCTGCCATTTTATTATTTTCCATTTGTTCTTCCTGTGTTTTGTTCCTGTTTCTCTTTTATTGCCTTTCTGTGAATTACTTGAACATTTTTTAGAATTCTATTTAGATAGATTTATAGTATTTTTTTAGTATATCTCCTTGTAGAATCTTCTTAGTGGTTGCTCAAGATATTATAATAAACATGCATAACTTATCACAGCCTACTGATACCAGTGTTTCATCACTTTGAATGAAATGCAGATACCTTACTTCCATTTGGGTCCCTTTATACTTTTAATATATAATTGTTTCAAGTATTTTCTCTAGGTAGTTGAAGGACTACATCAGATGATGCTATAATTTCTGCCTCAACCTTCAAATATTATTTTAGACATGTGTGAGGACAATCTATAAATCCCTACATTACCCATCTATTATCCTTTCCTTTCTAAACTTCCAAACCTCTGCTGTCTCATTTTGTCTTTGTTTACAAAACTTCTATAGGGGTTCAATTTAAGGGTAGGTCTGCCTGAAACACATTCTCTTAGTTGTTTTTCATCTGAGAATATATGTACTCCTCCTGCATTCCTGAAGAAGACTTTTGCCAGATATAGAATTTGCAGTTGACAGTTCTGTTCTTTCAAACCTTGAAAAATGTGGTGCCACTTCCTTCTCGCCTCCATAGTTTCAGGTGAGAAATCCACTGTCATTCAAGTGGTTTTTCCCTATAAGTCAGGTGTCATTTCTTTGGATGCCTTTAAGGTTTTTTTCTTTGTCTTTAGTTTTCCAAAGTTGAAGTATGATGTCTCTTGACATGTTTTTTTTTTTTTTTTTTGAGTGTCCTTGTTTTGTATTTCCCCAGCTTCTTGAATCTGTAGGTTTATGTCTTTCACCAAATGTAGGAAGTTTTCATCCATTATTTTTTCAAATATTTTTTTAACCCTACACTCTGTCTACCTTCTGGAGAAAACTATCTTCTCTTAAAAGGCTCAGCTCATGGGTTACAGCCACCTGAATAATCTCCATTTCTTAAAATTGACTGACTTGGGATTTTAACTGTATCTGAAAAATCTTTCCACAGCTGTATTAGATTGGTATTTGATTGAATAACCAGAGATGACAATCTTGGAGAGCCATCTTTAGAATTCTGCTTACTGCAATATGTATCATTCACTGAATTTTTGGGATAGCTCTATCCAGTAATATTTTCATCTCCAATTTGTAGATGAAGAAACTGAGGAATAGAGAGATTAAGTAACTTGTCCAAGGTAATGCAACCGTTAGTGGCAAAGCCTTGGTCAAGGATTGGACAGCCTTATTCCAGAGTCTAAACTCTTAACCATTTCACTCTACTCCATGGATGCTGGCTGACATTCACAGGCAGGGGAACCAAGAATGAATAATGTAGGAATGAACAGTAGGGAAAGGGGGAATGAGAAATAATTGCATCTTAAATTCCAGGCCTTGTATAAGGTGTTTTTCTGTATTGTTTAATCCTAACAACTACCCTGTGAAGTAAGTACTATTATTATTCACATTACGATTTTCTCATGTCAAAGCACTAGTAAGTAACACCAACAGATCCACTTGAACCCCGAGAGCAGGCTGCTGTGGATGTTGCTGCATCAGGCCCTAGGACCCTGAAAACCAGTTTTACCACCACTACACAAAGATATGGGCCCATATAACATCCAATCCACAATCCTCTTTCTGGGAGCCACTCCCACCCTTGGCTCCTCACCTTCTGTTGGGGGCCACTGGGATCCTCCAGCCTTTGATCTGGCTCAGTTCTGTGTCTGAGATCTCAATCTGCAGAGGGAGTCTGGGCACCCAGATGGTGACTTCTAACTGGGAGGTGAAGTGCTGGTGGGTGAAGTTCACAATTGTGTCTACTCTGCTCTTCATCTCCTTCCCATTCACAAAAACGGAATCACAGTTGTTGGAAACCTTTGGGGAGAGGTGGAATCTTGAGATGCATCAGCAGGAAAAATACAAGCAAAAAACCCACAGTGGTGAGAGTTCATGAACTGCAACAGCCCTGATTTATTAGATACCAAGACAACCAGAACAACATGACTTATGCAGAAGGTAATTTGTAGGCACTAATTAGTGACAAATACTGATAAATGGACTCTAGGAAGGCCATTTTGCAATACAAAATACTGACAAGTAAAACCATAAACATAATTTAATGAAGTTGCATAACCTCTGTTGCCTTCTTTGTTTTTTTTTCCCTTCGCCTTACTTTTTTTATGTACTCATCCCTCTACTAATCAAACCCCAGGTGCATCGTATTTTATTCTTACACCATATTTGAAGATGCATAAAAGGTGGCCATATGTTACTGAACAATCATTTTATTCAAGCCATAAAGAGTATCTTTTTTGAGAAATCAAGAGAGCCGTGTAGTAGATTAAAAACTGGGTGGGTAAAATGCTCACGAAATGCACTGGAAACATGGGTATAATTATTTTTGCCCCATTAAACTACAGTTTTACAGAATGGAAGTGACGACATAGTGTTTCATTATGGTCTTCTGACTCAACACGTGGGCTGCACACATTAGCAGGTGAAGTATTAGACAATTTGAGCTCCCGTTTCACTCTACATCTTCCCGATAAGCAAATCACGTGTTGATGACTTTCTCTCATGGACCATCAGGAAAATGTCAAGTGTGTCTGGATGGAGAGGGGAAGGAGAGAGCAAGGGTCACTTCATGTGCAGAAGGCACAAAGTGTCATATCCAATGTGACAATGTCCAGTGTGAAATGGGGGGACACCACTTCCTATGTCTCTTTTTAAAGGAAGGAGACTTTTCCAAGAATCCCCCAGAGGACTCCTCACACTTCATTGGCCAGAAGTGTCACATGACTTCCCTAAGCCAATCAGGGTTGAGAGGAATGGGATGACGACTGGTTTGGTGAGGGAACCACATTTTTTTTTTTAACATTATGTATATCCTAGGAGAAAAAATTCAAACAATAGTCAATAGACAGAATTGCCAAGGTCTCTCACCTTCTTACTTTTTTTTCTAAGTAGGTCATGCCTCCATTCCTGAAAGATGGAAAAAGCACTAAGCCTGCACATCCTCTGAAAGAATTCAGAGTGTCTCTGAGTTGAGATTTCAGTCTTATGCACAGAAAGGGCCTCGAGACTTCCAAGAGTAGGTATGTTTCTGATGGTAGGATGAACGTGATTCAAAGTGATTTGATGCAAGATTGAGAAGGGTAGAAGCAGGCAAAAAAGAATTAGAATTTTGTACAAACGCAGGAGAGTTGAGGTCTGTACTGTGGGAAAGGTCTGGCAGTAGGTGGCAATCACCTGAGCCAGGGAGGTGTGAGCAGCACTCCCTAGTGCATCCACTGCAGCATTCTCATCGGAACCCCATTCTCTTGAGGCAGGTGTGCATACCACAGGTGGAGCAGGCATGAGGCCAGGGGTGTTTAGCAACTGTATTGGACCTCACAGCAAGTATGGACTCGGAGCCTGCGTGGACAAGATGGAGACCACTGTGCTTCCTTCCCTCCCATCTCCTCCACACACCTTCATCACAGAACCCTCAAGTCTGGCTGCTGAAGGAGACCCTAAGCCTGTCTGATCTGTGCCCACCTCGTAGGAGTACAGCCCAGAGAGGACGAATCCCCGTTTTAGGAGCACAGAGAGATCCCAGCAAGTCTCAGATTAACACTAGGCCCAGTTTAGGCCAGTGATGTTATGGGACGCCAAGGACACAAAGTGAATCACGGAGTCCCAGCTAAGTGGAGGAGACAGATGTGAACACAGACCATTATAACACCCAGTGATTGGCAGGACAATAGTGCATACAAGGCAGCCAGGCCTCTCTGCTGCCTACAGGCCAGACAAAATCAAGAAGGAGCTGCTGTTCCGCAAGATTCCCAACACCTAGTACATCCCCTTCCCAAGAGGGCTCCCATGCACCTCCTCCATCTAATCTCCATCCCCACCCCCCACCCCCAAAACTCCCTTAGATGGCACTCAAGCAGAGCACAGTCAGTTGTAGACTCTGCTTGCTGGGTCACATCTTGAGAAAACAAAAAATTCTGGGTCTTTGTCCCTAGGAGAAAAAGCCCAAATCACATTCAACACAGTTTGATTCTGCATTTGTAGAGGAGTGCTACAATTTTTTTTCCCCTTATCAAGAGTAAACCAGCAACCTGGTCCCAAGATTATGACTCAGTGCAGTTTCTTGTTGTTGCTGCCAGGTGCCCTTGAATCGGTTCCAACTCACAGTGACCCTACGTACAGCAGAATGAAACCTGCCCGGTCCTGAGCCATCCTCACAATTGTTGCCATGTTTCGGTTCATTGTTGAGGTCACTGTGTCAATCCAACTCGTCGAGGATCTTCCTCTTTTTCGCTGACTCTCTACTTTACCAAGCATGATGTCCTTCTCCAGGGGCTGGTCCCTCCTGATAACATATCCAAAGTACATGAGACGAAGTCTTGTCATTCTTGCTTCTAAAGAGCGTTCTAGCTGTACTTCTTCCAAGACACATTTGTTTGTTCTTCTGGAAGCCCATGGTACATTCAATATTCTTTGCCTGCACCATAATTCAAAGGCATCAATTCTTCCTTGGTCTTGCTTACTCATTGTCCAGCTTTCACATGTATATGAGGTGATTGAAAATATCATGGCTTAGGACAGGTGCACCTTAGTCCTCAAAGTGACATCTTGGCTATTTAACACTTTAAAGAGATCTTATGCAGCACATTTGCCTAACGCAATACATCATGTGATTTCTGGACTGCTACTTCCATGGGCGTTGATTGTTGATCCAAGTAAATTAAATTCCTTGACAATTTCAATATTTTCTCTGTTTACCCTGATGTTGCTTATTCGTCCAGTTGTGAGGATTTCTGTTTTCTTTATGTTGAGGTGTAATCCATACTGAAGGCTGTAGTCTTTGATCTTTATCGGTAAGTGCTTCAAGTCCTCTTCACTTTCAGCAAGCAAGGTTGTGTCATTTGCATATTGCAGGTTGTTAATGAGTCTTCCTCCAATCCTGATGCCACATTCTTCTTCATATAGTCCAGCTTCTCGGATTATTTGCTCAGCATACAGATAGAATAAGTATGGGGAAAGGATACAACCCTGATGCACACCTTTGTGATTTTAAACCATGCAGTGTCCCGTTGTTCTGTTCGAACAACTACCTCTTGGTCTATGTACATGTTCGGCATGAGCACAATTAAGTGTTCTAGAATTCCCATTGTTGGCAATATTATCCATAATTTGTTATGATCCACACAATCGAATGCCTTTGCCTAGTCAATAAAACACAGATGAAATCCTTCTGGTATTCTCTGATTTCAGTCAAGATTCATCTGACATGAGCAATGGTATTTCCTATCACATGTCCTTCTCTGAACCTGGCTTGATTTTCTGGCAGTTCCCTGTCAACGCACTGCTGCAAACACTTTTGAATTATCTTCAGTAAAATTTTACTTACATGTGATATCCCTGATATTGTTTGATAATTTCTGCATTCTGTTGGATCACCTTGCTTTGGAATGGGCACAAATATGGATCTCCTCCAGATAGCTGTACAGGTAGCTGTCTCCCAAATTTCTTGGCATAGATGAGTGAGCACCTCCAGTGCTGCATGTGTTTACTGAAACATCTCAGTCTGTATTCCATCACTTCCTGGAGCCTTGTTTTTTGCCAGTGCCTTCAGTGCAGTTTGGACTTTTTCCTTCAGTACCATTGGTTCTTGTTCAAATGCTACCTTCTGAAATGGCTGAACAATTCTTTTTGGTACAGTGACTCTATGTATTCCTTCCATTATCTTTTGATACTTCCTGAGTCGTTCAATATTTTGCCCATAGAATCCTTCAACATTGCAACTCAAGGCCTGAATTTTTTTCTTCAGTTTTTTTCAACTTGAGAAATGCTGACAGCGTTCTTCCCTTTTGGTTTTCCAACTCCTGGTCTTTGCAAATTTCATCATAATACTTTGTCTTCTCGAGCCTCCCTTTGAAATTTTCAGTTCAGCTTTTACTTCATCATCTCTTTCATTCACTTTAGCTGCTCTATATTCAAGAGAAAACGTCAGAGTCTCTTCTGACATCCATTTGGGTCTTTTCTTTCTTTCCTGTCTTTTTAATGACCTTTTGTTTTCTTCATGTATGATTCCTTGATGTCATTCTACAACTCATCTGGTCTTCGGTCATTAGTGTTCAATGCGTCAAATCTATTCTTGAGATGGTCTCTAAATTCAGGTGGGATGTACTCATGATTTGTACTTTGGCTCTCGTGCACTTGTTTTAATTAACTTTAGCTTCACTTGGACTTGCATATGAGCAAGCGATGGTCTGTTCCACATTCAGCCCCTGGCCTTGTTCTAGCTGACAATATTGAGCTTCTCCACTATCTCTTTCCATAGATGTAGTTCATTTGATTCGTGTGTATTCCATCCAACAAGGTCTACATGTATAGTTGCCATTTATATTGTGGAAAAAAGGTATTTGTAAGGAATAATTCGTTAGTCTTGCAAAATTCTATCATGTGATCTCTGGTGTTGTTTCTATCACCAAGACCATATTTTCTAACACCGATCCTTCTTCGTTTCCAACTTTCACATTCCAATCACCAGTAATTATCAATGCATGCTGATTGCATGTTTGATCAATTTCAGACCACAGAAGTTGGTAAAAATCTTTAGTTTCTTCATCTTTACCATTAGTGGTTGGTGCATACATTTGAATAATAGTCATATTAACTGATCTTCCTTGTAGGCGTATGGATATTACCCTATTACCTACAGCGTTGTACTTTAGGATATATCTTGAAATGTTCTTTTTGATGATGAATCTGACACCATTCCTCTTTACTTTGTCATTCCTGGCATAGTAGACCATATGACTGTCTGATTCAGAATGGCCAATACCAGTCCATTTCAGCTCACTAATGCCTAGGATATCGATCTT